CCCTTGACTTGGTGTTGTCAGCACCACGCTCAGCCAGTGAGCCACGGGCCGGCCCTTCACCACCATTCCTTCTTATCATGTATTTATTGATTTCAAATCAGGGTATCCTAAGTTTTCTCTCTGTCTCATCCAATTATGCTTATAGGGCCGGGTTAAGACAGAGCCTCCTGCTTGCTGCTGTTCATGCTTGTGCAACATTGCTCTTAAATAGCTTCCCCAGCTACACTGAGAGCTCACACTGGGCCAAACCAACACCTTCTGAATCTCTGGCTTCCTGCTTGCTGCTGTTCACGCTTGTGCAACATTGCTCTTAAACAGCTTCCCCAGCTACACTGAGAGCTCACACTGGGCCAAACCAACACCTTCTGAATCTCTGGCTACATTCCCAAAGGGCTGATGAGGGCCTCCACACCCAGCAGGCAGCAAAACAGCTACCCCCTAGGAACGGGGAAGAGAGAAAAGCACCTGGGTTTTGGAGTCTGCCCTAGATTTGCATCCTGGCTCCACCATGTGAACCTTCCTGAGCCTCAGTTTCCTCCTCTGTAATAGGAGCTAAAAACACCTGCTTCCATAGGGTTTACTCTATAGCCAGTCAAGCTTTAGGTTTAGGATCCCTGACTCGCACAGGCTCTTTCCAAGGCCCTGGGAAAGGCTCTAGCAGTTTTGTAGTTACATTTTAATTCTTTTTCATAAAGAAGACACTCTCCCCTCCAACTTTTATCATCTTCAAACACCAAAAACTTATATCTGCTCCTCCTCACCCCCCAGAGTTGCTTTGGGAGTTAAGTAAAAATCTGTTCATAAAACGTGATTTATAAACTGGGTAATTTATAAGGACATGAAATTTAAATTTATTGAGTGTGTATGTCATAAAACATATGACATACATGCCCAATAAATGTTACTTCTTTCTAGAACACCCAGAAAACAGATGGAAGGACAGACAGAACAGCAGGCTGGTGTGCTTGTTGCATGCCCCTTTAATGTCCCATATATTGCCATTCAACAGCCCAGCCCCACTCCAGGAGTGGCCTCTGGGGCCCAGAGAGGACAAGGGGGGATGCTAAGGCGCCTGGCTCTTGAGCGAGGCTTCCTTATCTCTGATGTGGCCGTGGATCCAGTCAAGGTAGCGGCTGACTTTGGTGTAAACACCGTAGTTGTGAAGGAGCCCACAGCCCTCACCCCAGCTCACCAAGCCCACCAGGAACCAGGTGCCATGGAAGGAAGTGACCATGGGCCCCCCACTGTCACCCTCACAGGCATCCCGCCGGTCCCCGAGGATGCCCGCACATAGCATGTTCTCAGAGATCACGTTGTTCATGACCTTGCTGCACTCATTGCGCGGCACCAAGGGAATCTTGATGAACCTGAGGATGGAGGTGCGGTTCCTCTTGGTGTCTTTCTCTCGGCTGCTGTGATAGCCCCAGCCCGTCACCAACATTTCCTGGCCAGCCTGAGTGAGCTCGCGCTCTGCAAGGCCACTGTCCGGGAGGCAGACGGGCACGATGGTGTCTGAGAGTGTGGCGGGCTGGGCCAGCTGAAGCAGCGCGATGTCATTGTCGGTGGTACTTTTGCTGTAGTTGGGGTGGATGAGGACCTCCTTGATGTCCACCTCCATCTCCAAATTATCTATGCGCCGCAGGTCATACTCCCCTGCAGGACAGAGGGCACCGTCAGAGTGAGCCTGGGGAGCCTCTGCCCCGGCCACTTTCCTGAGGCCCACATGACTTCTATGCTCCTGCAGGCCTGGACAGAGGCCCTGAAGTGGGTCCACAGCTGGACAATGTTCACCTGTGTGTCCCAGGCACTGTTGTGGAGCTGCCTGTCTATGCTTGGATCCCTATCAAGGGTGACTTTTCCTGCCAGTAGGAGTGGCCCCCGGGGGTCATAAGTGCTGAAGGTAATTGCAGGGAGTGTGAATTTGGTCATTCTCAATACACTTTTCCTTCTTTTTTGCATAAAGTCAATTGACAGCCCCCTCCGGAAATTGTCATAGAGGGGGTCTAGGCTTGGGGACCCCCAGACTATGAGGGAAGCATCTCGATGCTTTGGCAGATGCCAGGGCCCCTGCTGCACAGCTCTATCCCTGTGAGTCTGTGTGAAGCATGGCCCTGAGGTCAGGCCTTGCAGCTCTCTGCACCCAGGGATGCTGAGGCACACAGCCTGCTCCATATGCGTGAGTAAAGAGGCAAGGATGTGTGTGACCCCCTCACTTAAAAACACATGTGTGCAAGTGCCTGTGCCCAGATTTGTAGAGGGCACCAGAGAATCCCCTACCTGCAGAATACCAGGTGTCACACAGTGGGCAGTGGGGACACATAGGCCTCTTCCCTCCAGACACCTGTGGAGCTCAAGCACCCTGGGGAACAGGGTTTCCCAAATCTGGACAGCCTGCCTGGCCCCACCCACTCCCCAGGCCTGTGACAGCCCCCTCCTCCTGCCTGGCTCCAGCCCGCACCAAGCCTGACGATGAGCTTCCTGGAGTCCTCCATGCAGTGGGCCGCCGTCAGCACCCAGGATGTGTGGATGAGCACTGCTCCGCAGGCCAGCTTCTTCTTTGAGTCCAGCAGGACCACCTGGAATGGGGACGAGCGAGTGACATCACGTGGCTGCCTTCTGACAACTCAGTCCAGGGCCCCTGGGTTCACATGGCCCCTGGCATGGTACTTAAGTGCTTTCCTGGGTTCCTTGGTCACATGGGTATAGGCTTACAGACCTTTCCTGGCATTTTGTATTTCTGCACATTTTATGGTGTTGGCCTGTTCCAGGGTGTCTCTCTGACTTTGCCCATGATGTTCCTGTAGTCGTCCTCAGCCACACCCCACGTCACTGAGAGAGCTCTTCTCATCCTTGGGGTCTTGGGTCAGGCTCCAGGGTGTCTCTCTGACTTTGCCCATGATGTTCCTGTAGTCATCCTCAGCCACACCCCACGTCACTGAGAGAGCTCTTCTCATCCTTGGGGTCTTGGGTCAGGCCTCATATCCTCTGAAAAGCCTTTATGGCCCCCAGGCTGCTTTCAGTGTCCCCTTGAGGCTTCCCTCAGCCCTTGTCCTGGTGGCCATCCTGGCCCTGGTCCCATGCTTTTCATTCCTTAGCAGTGGCTCCCGTGCAGATCAGCAGGGTTATATTCCAGGCTAGAACATAACATAGTAACACCAATGTTGCATCTTCAGATTGGTTACAGGAAACGTCCTCCCGTCATGTTCATATTGTGTCCAGAAAAGTTACGTTTATATATGGGGTCCTCTCAGTTGTTTGATGAAGGAAAGTATTAAAGAATTTCAGTTTTAATTTTAACATAAGGGGCCATTGCCTTTGGCAATCGTGTTCTTGGAGCTTTCCCTATGTGCTTCGGGCTTTCCTCCACCCAGTCTGAGCAGAGGAGGCAGGCAGCCAGGTGAGGGGCAGCTGCCTTGTGACTTCATGGGAACAGGGAGCAGCCTGTCAGTCAGGTGACGAACTCATGGTTCAAGTGTTAAACTCAAGTGTCCCCCCACGGCTTGTTTTCATGCCTTTGGGAGAAAGGATTTTCCCGTGGGGGCTGTGGAGCTGACTCCCTTCGTGCACACTTGCAAATCACTGTCTGAAGAGCTCACCGGTTCCATTCCGTTTAACAGAATGGTATTGAATATCTACAACGTACAAAGTTCTAGAAGAGACTGGGTGGTGAGAATGGCGCTGCGCTTACTCTGTAGGAAAAATAAGACAAGCGTAGGATTAGTCACACGTAAAGCACAGTAGGACTTCTGAAGGACTCTGTCATTGAAGCGCCCAGAGTATGCCTCAGGTGCAGAGGCTTGTGGGGCATCAAGACGGGCACTTGGACAGGCAGTGAAAGGGGGTAACGGGGCTGAGGGCTGGGGAGCAGCTCGGCCGGGAGGTCATGTGAGGGGGATCCTGAGCTGGGAAAGTGCTTCTGGAAAAGTCGCCCATTTGGTGTGAGCAAAGCACGGAGTCCACGCGGTGGGGCGTTCGTGGATGTGGGATGTGGGTGCCCTGGGGAGCGTGCCGTGGCAAGGGTGAACGCTTTACACTTTGGGGGTGCGCAGAGAGAGAGTGAAGGTTTCTGAG